CGCATTTGTCGGCCGCATTTGAAGGAGTCGACGAATTGGGACAGCCTTTGTCGCCTGGCTGTGACGTAATCGGCCTTCAAATGCGACCTCCAAAGGATGCAGCCGACGTTTTGGGACACAGCTTATGTAATTTCTTCTTCATCTTCTTCTGTTTTACTGGCAGTTGGCAACCCATTTAATTGGAGCAATAAGTTGTACTGCCCTCTAGTGGAGGAGAATGTAATTATTCTGCCTGATGCCGGTCGCTTAAAGTACCAATCAGGTGAAACCAGATAAACTTCCACGGCAGACCTGATCATTTCTCACAGCACACCTATGTGCCGCGACACAGTGGTTGGGAAACAACGCTTTAGGGGGTTAAAGTTTTTAGACTATGTTTAAAATGATTTTCTGTTGTTTGGCTAACTGAACTGAAGCAAGAAATCCTCCTATTAGTTGTAATGTCATTGTTTGTAGAGCATTTTATAAATGTGGACAGTGTGTACATGAATCACAAAAAACCAGCAAGCATTTGATGGGGAGGTTATTAAAGAGTTTTTGGTGGCTGAAATGGGACAAACACTGGTCATGTTTACTTATTTGTATTTGAATCTTAATTTTCCACTGTCCTCATGCAAGCTGATCAGGGACGTTGAAATGGGTGTACAATACCCAGGTCTGAACGGAAACCTTACTTCCTTTGCCGCAGACATGTGAAAGCTAAGGTAGACTAAAGGTCCTCACAATTCATTTTGTGAGGCCATCACAGTAATACTGTTCTAATACTGTTCGTTTGAAAATTCATAAAGTCATACATTAATAAATACAAAAACAAGAATGGGGAAACAGAATATATAAAGAACAACCTGATACATCACGTTTTCAGTAAAATTAAAAACAAGTTCTTTATTAGTTTATTTTCAGTGAATGAGATTGGTACTCAAAGTCAACCCACAGTTGTTCATAGACACTTTCACATTCTGCATTTAACTTGAGAATAAACACTTTCTTCAGTTTCCAGTTCATTCTTCCTCTTCTTTCCTCTTGTAGCTTTGCTTCCAG